TTAAAATGCCCTTTAATGTAAAAGGATAAAACATAACTTTCTCTTGAAGTCAAAGGCTTGCACAGGCCATATCTACCCTGTACACTGTTTCCACGCTGGGGAGCGACAAGGTTCCCACACCCTTTCACCCATGTCAGTAGCAGGGAAGTCTCGGGTACCTGACAGGGAATGTCATGCAGGACAGTTCCCAGTTCTGACCTGCATGCCCTTGAGCAGACATTTGATATTTCCTAAGCCTCTGTGTTCTCATCTGTATAACGAGGACGTTTCTTGAGGACTCACAGGGCCCGGGCTCTTCATTTAAACTATTCCTACAAGGAGGTTTGTTGATCCTCAGCTAAAGGGAAGGGGGAAGGAAAAAACATGCCGAGAAGGTGGCAATTGTATGAACATGTACGGAACTTCAGTGGCACTTTGAAGACCTAGAACCTCGTCCAGCCGGGGCACTCCTGTCCCGCCTCTTGCACACGTCCCAGTGGGGCTGGGACCTCCCGAGTGAGCTCCAAACCTCCATCCTTGTGGGATTCACGGTCATGCCGCTGACATGGATGTCCTTCCTTCTCCCACCCAGTGTGTAGCTGAGCAAACTGGTAACCTGCATGAGTCCTGCAGGATGCGGGCCCTCCAGGAAGGCACCTCGGAGAAGGTGGCCATGGCCATGGTACCAGCTTTCCCGGGGGGAATCCTCCCCCACGTCTCCACGCTGGCCCTCTCCAGAGCCCAAAGGTTCCTGGACGAGCTTTTCACTAGGTGAGCACACACTCGTGACTCTGCCCACTGCTAGCTCTGAGGCTGAAACGTCACCACATCTTCCCGAGTCTCAGGATGCTCCTCTGAAAAGTGGGCTACTGGGGGGTCAACCTCATAGCACTGCTGTGGGGACAAGCTATGGCAGGTCTCACCTGCTCCCTGGCTCTGCAGACAGGGTAGCTGGACGTGCGGCGGTTGTTGGTGGCAATTCTTTCACTCTGTCCCACGGGAAGAACTCTGACACACCCATCAGTGGCCTGTGGCATCGGAGGGTGGAAAAGCACATGGAAAGCAACCTGTTAAGCAGTGTGAGATGTCACCTAGCCGGTCCTGGTCCTTGGTGTAGCCACACTGGGGATTTCTGGGGAGAGCAGGGGCCCAGGCCCACTCAGATGTATGGCATGCTTCTGGTTGGAGTTTCTTTACTCGACAATGTGCATGCACTTTTGGAGCCACTTAGCCTGACTCGAGGAATGAAGCAGACACAATCCCTGGGCCACAGTTCTGGGCAATGGGTCCAGCAGTCACGCTGTCCATCATTCGCAGGTCGTGTCCACCATCCATCAGGGCTGATGCCATCAGAGCGTTTTCTCCATCTGGAGGCACCCCTCCTTACAATGACCGGGGTGACACAGCGCAAGACCAAGTCATAAAGTGAGTGGTCTCCGGGTCCGGAAAGAGGGCCCCCAGAGTCAGCATAGTGGGTACTCTGTTTGTGGGGGGGAGGGTGCCTGGCAGAACCCTAATCTTACACATCATCTGATTCCCAAGAAAGGCCTGAGCTCTGGAGTCTTCTATTCCAGGAGGACAGGAGTCAAAGACGACAGTGGGTGGGGTCCCGGGCCTTGTAGACCCAGAGGGGACGCTGGGCTGAGTTGTCCCTCAGAGTCCCCTCCCCCCCAGAGACCCACCCCGCGCTGCCTGCCCCTCTCCATATCCATCTCCCCTGACCACCGTGGCCAGGCTCAGAATAGGACTGTGGTGAGCAGGCTGCTCACAAGTCTGTCTCAGTCCTCAGCCCAGATGCCCAGGGCCTGGAGGGTGGGGCTGGGCAGTGCACTGGACCTTCAGGAGAGCCGCCAGTGGGAAGAAGAGTCTCACACAGACTCCGTGTTGAACCTGCTGGATATGGGTCCCACACCTGCTACAACCAGGACAGCCACACAGGGGCCGGGGGTGGCATGGGGCTGTGCCCTGGGTGGGCAAGGGGGGCCTGCACAGAGGCTCCGATCTAAGCAATTGTGCCATGGGAGGGCAGAGTGGAAGGAAAGACCAGGACTCAGACTCTGCTGCCCACCTGCCTCTCCCCAGGGCCTTTGCTGCGATGGTGGGGACCTGGCTGGACCAGGTCCAGGGTTTGGGACAGCCCCTTCCTATCGCCTGTTTCGAGGCAGAGCAGGCCTTGGTGCCCGTCAACTCCCCTGCCTCACACCTGGTGGGCCACGCCCAAAGTCAATGGTTGGAGCTGCAGCATCTGGAGCCCACCGAGGCAACTCCACAAGGTGAGGGGCACAGATCATCTGGGCAGATCATCTGGGGAGGGCAGGCTCACGGGCTAGAGCTCCCTTAAAGGCGGTGGGCATCTTGCCTTTCTGCACAAAGTCACAGGAAAGCCAGGTGTGTGAGTCAATCTGTCTCTCTCTCCTGCTCCAGGTCCACGCCCTGAGCTCCAGAGCTCTCCAGAGCCAGAGGAAGGGCCTGCTCAGGGGCCAGAGCCTGGTCCAAGGACAGGCCCTGCCCTGGCCTGGCCCGAGGCAGTACCTGAAGCCATTATGGAGCCAGCTACTGGCTGCGCCGGAAGTCTTCTCTTTCTCTGTCCTAAGAGTTCTAGGCAGTTACCTCAAACAACTAAGAGGAATACATCCCAACTATATATTTATAATATCAGATAATGATAATTTCCAAAAATACCTAGCTATTTATGTAGACTATAATCTATTAAATCTCTGGAACAAATACAAATAAAGTTGTTAATTTAAAATATGTGTAGATGATATCTACTCGTGTATATAGAAATATGTTTGTGTATATACGCTGATATGGAAAGATGCTCACTATACCACATTTTAAAAATAACTCCTGAAATTTAATTTTTTCTGGTAATTAAACAAGTATAATCTGATAAAATGATGAAATACAGTTTGGAAATGTATAAAATGTTAACACTAGTGTACTCTAGGAGGTGGGACTGCTAGAATTGACAGTTTCTACTCTTTCTGCTTAGTACTTTCTGGTTTTTACCGGGGCCCAGTGCTCGAATTTGAGCATCTTGAAAGGAACTGTGGGCTGCGAGGCTGCAGTGGGCACAGGGGTGGGTCTTGGCCCATCCTCCGTGCCCCCACCCGGCCCCATTCGCTGTGGCCCCCGGTCCCGTCTGCTGGCAGTCCTGCTCCCACCCACTGACGGCATGGAATGGTTGGGGCCGGTGCCAGCAGCGAGTTCAAGCAGCGGCTGCTGCCCCAATTGCCCCTCAGGAGCAGGGGTAGATGTAGAAACCCTCAGGGGCTATCTGGGCCAGCAGCTGCTGCCCGCACCCACTGACAGTGCTGAGCGATCGGGACCAGCGCCGGGTGCTGGCATTGGGTGCAAGCGCGGTCAACGCAGGCAGCAGATGCGAGCGCTAGGCGGAACTGCGGCGCACGGGAGCAAAGAATTTTCAGTAACCACTACAGGCTCGCCCCAATGACAGCAACCAGTGCCCCACCTTGGTCTGGTGCCCCTGCTCACCTGCTCCACCATCCTGCAGTGGCCGATGCCTGCCATGTTCCGCACGTACCCCCTGGTGGTCAGCGCACATCATAGTGATCGGTTTTTCCACTGTTCGGTCTATTTGCATATTAGCCTTTTATTATATAGGATATTACCTTCTGTCTTAGGTTCAACCATTTCTTTGAGAAGCTTTTGTTCCTTTCATTGGAGAATGACATTAGAACCAAGACCAAGGTACAAGTGGTATCCTAGTTTATGAGCATTATGTTCTTTTCCCCCAGATTTATGGAGGTATAACTATTATACAAAAATGCACATAATTAATGTATACAATTTAGGAGTTTGTGGTGATACCAACATACACTTACGTTGCTATCATCACAACCAAGGTATTAAACATTTCCGTCACCTCTGAGTTCCTTGTGTCCCATTATTTATGGGTTTTTCTTTTTGTGCTAACAACACTTAACATGAGATCTCCCATCTTAACATATTTTTAAGTGCACAACACATTATTTCTTAACTACAGGCACGATGTTGTGCCATAGATTCTTGGAGCTTTTTCTTTATCTATTGATATGACCAAGGAATTTTTGGCCTTTATTCTATTTATGTGGTATATGACATTGATTGTTTTGCATATGTTGACCCTTTCTTGCACCCCAGAAATAACTCCCACTTGTCATGGTGTATGACCCTGTTAATGTTCTATTGAAATCGGTTTGGTAACATTTTGTTGAGGATTTTTACATCTCTAATTATCAAGGTCATTAGCATACAGTTTTCTTTCGTTTTGATGTCTTTATCTGAACAGATTCAAAATGGTTATTTTTCTCTTCATCACAAGAATCTGGTGGGGTTCCAGGAGTAAAACCCATGAAAGAGTAGCAACCTCCCTAAGACTGCAGCCGCCTGCAGTTTCTCACTCTTAACCCCAGTCCACACTCAGCGTCCCACAATGTGTCACAATTACCATTTAACGTTCCTAAGCGCTCAAGGCTCCAGCAGCTCCGGCTCCGGCAGAAATGAGAAGGCTCTGTGCTTTGGAGGTATCAGGGTGATGAATGCAGGAAAAGTCGTTGGTTTTCAAATTGTTCACACTTTTTTCTTCACGAAGAGTAACAACTTCTAATGCTCTACATTTCAGCTGTTACCACAGTCCACGTAGTTAATATTTTATAAAAGTTATGGTCCAATTTAGATTGCAAATTAAAGGAAACAACCAACCCTCTGTCCAGTAATGTCAGAAGTGCTGTTATAGTAGCACCAGGGGCTAACAGTCACCCCCGATGCTGCTGGTGCCACACCATCAGGAGGCGGGGGCAGCAGAGGGTGTGGCGACCAGTGTTTTGTCTGCACACGACGTGAATCCTATGTGAACAGGGCCTACATCCTCATCGCAAATGTGCTGATGGGCACGTCCCTGTGGTCACTGTCCCAGGGGCCTGAATGAAACGCAATAAAGGCAGCACCTAGATTTTCTCCCTCACCCACTGACTCCTCAGTCTTGCTATGAGACTGGAGCACAATGTACACAAATATTGAGTAAAATTTTTATTATTACACTCTGAGACTTCAGGCCATTGGACACAAAGAAAGCCTAAATGAAGATGAGAGAAACATCGATCAGCCGCCTCCCACATGCACCCCGACCAGGAATCAGAGCCGCAACCTTTGGTGTACAGGATGACCCTCCATCCACTGGGTTCTCACCCTGACATTTCCCACCAGCCACCGTCTCCTGCTGCTACCCATCCCCTTACCTGGGAAGGGAATGAGCTGTGAGCACTGTGCCTTGGGGGCACCCCAGCCCCACACCCACCTTAGTGCCCCTCCTTGTAGGGACCCTCCAGCCTACCCCTTGGCAGGTCTAGGGTCAGTCGCAAAGGCCCAGGGCTGAGGACACAGGGCTCCTGGAGCAGCATGGGCACAGGTTGAGACAGCTGCCCAGGTGACACCTGCCAGGTGAGGGAGGACCCAGCACAGGCGGTGTCTGTTTCCAGGAAGGACCAGCAGTGTTGAGTGTTGGCTCCAGGCTGCATCCTCAAAGCTCCCTCTGGGAAGCAGTGAGGGGGAAAGGGTCCGGGTGACAGGAGAACGGGCACCTCCCCCTGAGGTCCAGGGGGTGAAGGGGAGAAAGTGGGCTTTGGAGAGGGAAGGGAGCGAATGATTCTGGTGGAGGTGACTGCAGTGGGGAGCTGTGTGGAGTCAGGAGCTACAGCGCATGGGGTGGTGGTGAGGAATGGACGTTTGGGACATCCTGTGAAATGTCCAGATGTTCTGGCGGCCAACCCTGTTTGTTGGGCAAAATCTGTTAGGAAAACGACTGAAATGCCAAAGAAAAGTGACCTAAATCTAAAAGCCAGAGGATTGGGGACACATGGGGACGCAGCTTTCTGACCTTTATTTCTGAGAAGGAAGGTGTTTTTTAAAAATTAGTTGTAACTTTAAGGCCTTAGACTCAAATGTATTATTCACACTGTTACATTGCAAATAGGAAAGAGGTAATCAATTGGCTGATCAGGTGTGAAATGATTTTCACAAGACTTTACAGAAAAAGCTCATGTGACATCCCCTGCTTGTCAGCTGATGACAGGCCACCACACCGACGCCCCTTGGTCAGTGCTAGGGCCTGTCACACTTGGGCCTCTCCTTCTGTGGTCCTGCCACCAGCAGCCACTAGAGCAGTCTTGCAGGCCCGTCGCTGGGGCCAGGCCGCGGGGACCGTGTGGGGCCACAGAGAGCCCCCTCAAAGTGCAGCACGTATCGGGTTTGGACAGTTTTTATTTATTACTTTCACATTCACAGACTCAGGCAGCCCCTTTGAGAAAGGGAAGGGGGAAGCTGCCTGGAAGAAAAGCTGGGCTCACGGCACGTGGGACTTCTCACAGGGAAACGGGCCTCGGTGTCAGCAGGCACCTGACATGGCGGCCGCAGCTCGCTCCTCGGTGCCTGGGAGATGCATTCCTGGAGGCTGCCTCAGCCCAGGATTTTATTGCTGGTGAACCTCGTCATCCAACTTACAGCGCGGGGTGACGGCACTAACAAAACAGGTCCAGGGGAGCAATTGGCCGAGATGAAACTGGACCATGTAAACTACACGGACTGCCACGCTGCCCTGCTGGCCTTCAGCCCCAGGGAGGGCCTGGGGGGACGGAAAGGGAAGCCCCGCTGCCCATCCAGGTGGAACAAAGACAAGAGAGGGACAACCAGCAGGACGGGCACGCCCACATCCACAGCAGCCTGAGCTCCAGAACCCGCCAGCTCTTCCTTTTCCCAAAGACGTTCGCTTCTCAGGTGGGAAGAACACGCCACTCCCCTTTTTCTGAATATGTAGCTCTTGGGCTCAGTGAGATAACCACCTGGCAGACAGAGGATCGGAAATATGGACTAGGGGTGCTCAGGCGTGTATTCTGAAAGGACGGACTGCCAAAAAGTGCCCTAGGGTCACCCCGAATCCCACAGGAAGGCGACAGTCGTGGAAAGAATGGTTCACCTCTGTGATTACAGCAGCGCCAAGATGAGAGCCAGCGCTGTCATTTTATTATGCAGACTTGGTCTTGCATTAGCTCCTGCCAGTTCTGCACACCATCAGCTCCTCAGGTCTCCTGAAAGCGCGAGGTGCCCTTCCTGCCGTCCCCGGGTGACAGGCAGGCCCTTCCCCTCCTTGACAGCCGAGGGAAATGACGCCTGTGCCATGTAACTGCTCCTCCTGGTCTGTCAGACTGCAAATGTTTAGTCCTTTTACCCTTCTGGGGACCAAAGGCCTCATGGCATTGGTAGGCGTGGGGGCGAGGCCCTCAACGCACCTGATGTTCACACTAAGCCAGAACCGTCGGGTGCAGCTTCACCGGCCGAGGTGCACACGGCCCGTGGGTGCCCGCAGGAGTCTTGGGGGGTGAGATGGAGGAAGTGTCCGTTCTGTGCTCAGATCTCCACTTGCTTAGCCTCTGGTCAAACAGAGGTATCGGAGTTCACAGATCTACACATTAGTTTAGCAAAAAATCTGGCTTCTGATACCCAAAGAGCTTAAAGTCCCCTTCAAAACGGGCATACAGGCGCCGGATGTCCCGCTTGCTGATGCCCAGGAAGTAGTGCTCCACCTTGGTTTTGTTGTACACGGTGATGCCCGGAGGGATGGTGGGGTATGACACCAGGTGGTCTATGCCCGCCTCTTTTAAGATGTATGGGGCGTCGTCCTCCAGGGTCTCGTGGTGACCAATCACACTGTATGATATCTCGCAGGGCGCGCACAGCTCGACGTACGTCACCCAGTGAATGATGTGGTCCCCAAACTGGAGGTCCAGCCATCTGTGGTTTGGATCGCCCAGGTAGCGCACAAAATCTTCAAACTGGATGCCCCGGGTCTCCGTCCGGTTCCGCCTGTACTTCCGGATGATGCCGGGGGCAATCTCGTGTCTGTACCAGGGTTCAAAGCGGGGATTGTGGACGAACTTGTCCTTAAAAGCAGATATCAGTCTTTCAAAGGGATCTCTTACAATAAAAAACTTGAAGTAGGTTTTCAAGCTAAGGGAAAAATGTAGATAAACAAGAGGTGAAGCCGATGCTACTGGTGGTGACGGCTGTGAGAGTGGGAAGAGTGGAGACACAGCTGGAGCAGCTGCAGCCGCCATGTCCTGAACCCTCCCCCGGGCGAGCCCTGAGATGAGCACATCACACACATCCCGCTTAATCCACTCAACACCACTGAGGGCAAACCTGCTCATTAGCACCCATTTTATAGGTGAAGAAATGGAAGCTCCGAGACTGTGACTGTCCAGGGCCTCAGCACTCACCCTCGGGGGCCACTGTGAAAACATCTATTTCACCTATGTTTTGTTTTACTTGAGAGTTTCAAAATTTTAAGGACATTTAAAAGTTTTGTTCCTGGGCAGAAAATCCTAAGGACAGGAACTTTGAGTGAGTTAGGAACAACGGAGGCCAGGAAAGTTACTTTATATCTGAAATACTCAATTCAAAATTGCCAGGGGCAGGAAAAATAATTGCCAAGAGCAGTGGTGGTAGGAGATGGAGTGAGGCTCAGGCCCCAGCGGGAGGAGAGCTGGCCCGGGAGACCTGCGGGAGTGGCAGTGGTGGTCCCAGGGCCCAGGGCAACCATGACGACAGTGAGGCCACTGCTGTCACTGCAGCGGCTTCCTCCGAGCCAGAAACTGCTCAGTGCTTTGCAGGCCCTAACCATTTCCTGACAAAAGCCCAGGATGGTAACAGGGCAGCCCTGACCCGGCTTGGCTCTGGCACTGAACAGCTGTGTTCTGAAGGGTTTGGACACATTGGAAAGCCTCCGGAACCAGGGCTGGAAGGAAGAGAAGGTGCTGACGAGCGAGGCAGGGCCAAGTTCAGGTGGGTTCTGACATTCTTATTCCTGTTGAACTTGGCTCTGGCGGGGCCATTTCATAGCTAGTAAAGAGAACTTTTCAATTTATAGCTAAGTTTTAGTGCCAGTGCCCTCCCTGCTGTGATCGGTGGGTCTGTCTGCCGGGCTGTGCTAGGTCCAGTCCACACCACCACTCTCAGGGCAGTGGCGGGGAAGCAGGCACGATGCCTTTGGGGAAAATGAAAACGAGGTGGGGTTTCCCTGCAGCCTAAATCCCTTTCTTAGGAAGTAACAATCATATCCAGTAAGGAGTCCATAAAACTAAACACAACCAACGCAGAACAAAAATGACCACTCACTTCTATTGGGAAAATGACCTTCCTTCATTCCCATGGATGGCATGAAGGTGAGAGTGGAGAGCCATTCTGAAATTCCCATCAAGATTTCTGAGTTTAAATGCACTGAACTCTGGGCATGTGCAAAGCTGCCTCTCCCCCACGCAAACCAACAGCCCCCTGGAGTCCTTGGCGCAGTGTGGGACACAGGGCAAGTACAGAACCGAGCCTGGGACGTATCGAAAAGCCCCTCCCTGCAGGAACCTGTTCCTACCGCTTCTGAATTTCCGCATCGCTGAAGGCAGAGAGACGAGGGAGGCCGTTCTTTTCGTGGTCATGAACCACGTTCTCGGGGATGTCTTCGATGGAAGGAAAGGCACCTAGGAAGCAAACAAGGGAGAAGTTGTGTGGCCCCCTCAGTGCTACCTTTAAAGAAGATGCCCGTCTCTAACTTAGGCCCATGTTCCCCGCAAGTCATCCCCAATATCCATGGTGATATTGAATTCCAACTAAGACGAGTGAGACGTGGCAAAATGCGAGTGCAGACAAGCTCTGGTCACCTGTAAGCCGACAGGAGGAACCAAGAGGAGTTAAGAGGAGGAGGGTGAGGGAGTAAGGGGTGGAAGGAAGGATGATACCTACCCCTGGTAGCGCACTGGGATGGGCTAAATCTGCCAACAGACACATCGCTGCACGCGCATCGCTGCACGCAAACAGAATGCCTAAGGCCTCCCGCACTCACTCTACTGTGAAACTGGGCTCATGAGAACAACCTGCTCACACCCACAGCCCTCACAGGCCCGCCACTCCCGACAGGCAAGGTGTTCCCAGGACCACATCCCTGGGCCTCAGGTGAGTTCCTAGGTAACCTCAGGGCATCCCAGAGATGTGGCAAGTGGCAGAGGTGTTTGGTGCTGGAACGATCCAGCTAATGTCGTGGGATAGATATATTTGAAGCGAGGGTCAAGGAGGAGACGGAGTGACTGAGGAGAAGTGGCAGGGTCAAGAGCACAGTGCTTGGAGGCAGGCTGACGCATGTAACCTGGGGAGGGGCATCCTTGGTGGGTTGGGCAGGTTTTCATTCTTTTCCCAACTTAGACAAACGGAAATAAAGTGTCATTACCTGAGCTTTTAGCCAAGCCTCTGCAAACCTTTACATCCATCTTTGTGTTACTCCTGTCTTGTTACATGTGGAGTCTGGTGGGGGGAAATCTCTGTTGGGCCACCTAAGCAGTGGCCATCGCCTATTTTATTTATTCTTCCCCCAAATGTTTAAGTGCCAGTCTAGACCTCTACGCTAACTGCTGTGGATGGCTCTAAATGGGCAAGACTGTCAAATGAACCAACCTGTGGATTTGCACATGGACCCGCTCAGGTATCTGTCCCCATCCAGGTGCATGCAGGGCCGGCAGAAGGCAGCCACAAGGACCACCTGCTTTTCTATTGCAGGCATGCCTTGTTTTATTGTGTTTTGCTTTATCACGCTTCGCAGATGCTGTGTTTTTTTTTACAAACCGAATTTTTACAATTGAAGGCAAGAACCTCCACCAGCAAGAGGATTATGGCTGGCTCCGCTGCCATGCCTCCTTCACCGCAGTGGTCTGGGAGGGTCGCAGTGCCTCTTGGGTGCGCCTACATGCGACCTGGCAACCTGCTCCTGTTTTGTCCTGCCCTTGATTGATGCTTCAGACTGTGGTGGCAGATTTGTAAGAATCGTGTATTCATTGTTTCCAATTTGATTTGTAACCTCATTCTACGACATCAAAAATCCAACATGCAGTCAGATTACTCAAGCATATTCATTATATACCAGAAAACGAGGCGAGTGTCTCTCTTCTCCCCCAGCCAACCTTGGAAAAGGCCAATGACAATAAACTCTGACCCCTGACTGAGGGCAGAGCAGCAGTCGGACAGGGGACAGAGACCCGAGCCACCACCCACAGGGCTCCCAGGTCGCATTCTTCATCCAGGGTCACACGGCTCTGAGCTAGAGCCGTGCTTCTTTAACAGCTGAATTTAAGACACAGAACCCATTAAGTATCTTGTCAGTTCAGAGTACGTAGAGTTTAATAAACATGGTGTCTGGAATAGCAGTGAATAATAAAAAACTAGGGTATGAGGTCACTTGCCAGTGATCTCATTTGTTCCCAAGAAAACATCAGCTATTTCCTGAGGCAAGTCAGTTAAATCCTCTGAATACGATGCTTGGTGTAAAATGAGGACATTTCTTTCTACCCAAGTGGCACTGAATCCTTTGTCTGTGGGTAGAGGCTCCCCTCCCAGGGCCTGGGGTAGGCGCCCTTCTCACTACAGGACGGGCAGTGTTGGGGGCGGCTTCCTGGCACTCAGCGAGCGTGGGGCCTTGGATTACAAGGACAGAGCCAGTGTCTAGTAAGAATCGATGCTGTGAATCTGAAGAGAAGGAACGGGACCCACCAGGTGAGCAGGCTGCCTGAGATGGGGACTCTGCCGTGGGAAGTGAGGAGATCTCAGCCTTAGGGGTGGCCCTTTGAGGACAATCAGCATCCACATTAACCCACTAACTTAAAGAACAACACTCACAGGAAAAACACAACGGAGAACTGTCTGACAGGTTACCAGCTCCTCTTAGGAGATGTCCCTTCCTGTGGCTCCTCCCTGCCCCTTGTCTGCCTCCCCCACCCCCAGGTCACAGGGGCCCTCCCCGGGCAAACCCCAAAGCCACCGAGGGGGGACACACCACGGGCACGGCACGCACCGTTGAGCACGATCAGCACTTTCTTCCACTGCGTGTTGCCCACTTTGGGGGTCTGGCAGAAGAGGATCTTGTGCTTGTCACAGACGAATATTCGGTCCAGGACGAACTTGGACACGGCCGTGTGTGAGAGGTTCTTCAGGGCCGCGTCCCTGCAGACGTTTCGGATGAGCTCCAGGCGCTCCATGTAGACCAAGGGCTGAGCCAGCTGGCCGTCTGAGAGCATCTTCCCCGTGGGCTGCAGGGACAGGGAGGCAAAAGGGCCCGGGGGCCTCCTGAGCAGAAGACAGGCTGCCGCCGGGGAGCCCTGCGCTCTGGCCTCCAGCTGGGCAGACAGAGAAGCTGCATCTGACATAAGCAGGGCCCTGTGGACCGGATTCACCTCCAGGAGCCTGGGACTCAGGTCCATGTTCAGAGAGAAGCAAACCCTCTTGTTCCTCGTCCTCAGCTTGGACAAAATGAGGGGTGGTGGGTGGGGTGTCTACCAGTCACTTTGCTGATGAAATTATGACCCTTAATTTTCTGGAAACTGCAGGACACTTTTCATTCAGGGCTTCGGGGAAGGCCAGTTCCCTCTCTCCCCTCCCCCCGCTCCCCCCCCTTCTCTATAGCCTTTCCCTCCCTGTTATTCTACGTGTGCCTGTATGGCCTGTATAGAAGGACCAGCTGTCTACATGGTGACGATTTGGGAGATAGTCTGGTTTATTAATTTAAAAAACACCTTAGGTCATTTAGTATGTTTTGAAAATGCAGCAGCCATGACTCCATTTCCTCAGTGATAAGCGTAGCAGGAGAGTAGGAAGCTAGGAAAATCCCCCGGTAAGTGGAATGGGGAAACTGGGACAAGAAAATGAAACAAGGCCAAACAGTTTGGGCAGCTTGCAGCCAGCTTGTGAGTCGAAAGACCTTACCTTCCCCAACAAAGGACACTTGAGAGCAAGTGGCTTATACCCTCCTCCCTAACCAGAGAACAGACATCTGAAATCCCCCTGGCCTGGGAAAACAGAGAACAAAGACCCAATCAAGGCCATCTGTGCCAGCTAGACCCAAGGAACAAATAACAAAAACCCCATTCATGCCCAACAGACCTAAGGTAACAGTAAAACAGCCCAAAGAATAACCCCAAACTCCCCTCTGCACTCATTTTGATGCATCAGCACATTAAAAATGCACCTGGGAAGCTGATGAAGATTCTGGCCTGCAGGAAAAAAGGATAAAAAGCCCTCAGGAAAGACAATGTGGGCTGGCTCTAGAGCTCGCCCATGCCCCTTCCCAGGCATGAACTTTTTCTTTCTAAGGATCCCCATGAGACGTAAACAGCGGAGCAGCGGGCAGCGACCACTCCACTCGGGCTCACCTGATCCTGTCTCCAAAACCCCTTACTCTCTGTCTTCCCTGTGAGCTACAGCAGCCCGCCCAGGCTACCTCGCTCCTTTAACATTTCCAAAGAGCCAAAGCAGAGCCCTGCCTTGCTTCTTTACCCAATTCCTTCCTCTGTTTCACTGTCCCCAGCTTTAATAAACGTTCATTCAAACCCATCTGGACTCATGTTGCAAAACCTTTCCTACACAAAGTCAAGAACCCACACACTAGAAGCCGGCCTGAGGCAGACCTGCTCTGGTAACTGTGATGCAGGTTTTGCTTGGTGGCCCCACAGGCATTTAGCACTATGAGCACATGTCGGAGGGAGCACGCCAGCACTCGCTTGTTCTCTCAGGAGTTATCAACCAGATGAGAAAATCCATGACTGTGGGACGAAGGCTCTGATGCCAGAAACCCCTACCCACCAGGAAAGTGGGCCCGAGACCAAGCAGGGGCGGGTGTGCTGACAGCCCCCAGGAGCCCGAGGCCACAGGGACAGCAGGCGCACAGCCTCCTGTTGGGTTTCTGAGCTTGGGGTCCAGCCACACTAGGGAAGGGCGGCACTTCTTTGCTCTGTGATGTCACCACTTTTGAGTGTTGGTTCTGACCATCTGTTATCTGGAAAAGGTCTTTCAATAGCTTTTCCCCTCAAAAACATAGTACATAGGAGGTATAGCTTCTAGCCGTGTGTACCTGAGACAGGCCTGCTGCTGCCTCCACACAGAGCATACCCTGAATGAAAACAGAGTCACGGCTCTAGCTGATTTGGCTCAGTGGATAGAGGGTCAGCCTGCGAATGAAGGGTCCCAGGTTCAATTCCAGTCAGGGGCACATACATGGGTTGTGGGCTCAATCCCCAGTGTGGAGCGTATAGGAGGCAGCCGATCAATGAATCAATGATTTACTCTCATCACTGATGCTTCTATCTCTCTCTCCCTCTCTGAAATGAAACAAAAAAAACCAAAACAACCCCACAAAAACAGTCACGGCTCTGCCGCCCAATTCCCAAGCTGAGGCTTCACTGCAGGGAGCCCACCCCCACCCCCACCTGACCTGTCATTTCTTTGTATCCACCCCATTTTATAAATCTTTTATTATTATCATTGATTTTTGAGAGAGAGTGAGAGAGAGAGAGAGAGAGAGAGAAACATCGATTTGTTGTTCCACTTATTGATGCATTCATTGGTTGCTTGGTTGCTTCTTGTATGTGCCCTGATGGGAGATTGAACCCACAACCTTGGCATACCATGACCATACTGGGCTACCAGGCCAGGGAAGAAGTCAACCATTATTTATTTATTTATTTATTTATTTATTTATTTACTTATTTATTTATTGTTTAATCCTCACCTGAGGATATGTTTCTATTGATTTTGAGAGAGAGAGAGAGAGAGAGCGAGAGACAGAGATTGTTGCCTCCTGTACATGCTCCAACTAGGGATGGAACCCAAACCTAGGTACATGCCCTTGGCCTGAAATCAAATCCATGACCTTTCAGTGCTCAGGGGACACTCTAACCACTGATCCACCTGGCCATGGCTAACCACCCATTTTAATACCTGGGTGGCTTATAGCATTTTCTCCTCTTGATTCTAGCACTTTCAACACTTGGCCAGGAAGTGTCAGAGTGGGTCTCTTCACCGATTTGCCTGGAATACAGTGAGCCTTTCTGCCTATATCTTCAGCTCAGGAATCGGAGACGGGGAAAGGTCATGTTAAGTTAGGAGGTGCTCCAGCATTCACCCACAGCGGCTAAACTTCCAAACCCTGCCCTTCTCCTCAACCCATGTTACAGAGAAACATGACTGTGTGGTTATCCTGGGGAAATGGAGTCACAGACCATACATATAAGCGTAACACCTAAATGGGTTTTAAAAAGGAAATATACAAAAGTTGAGCTTTTTCCTTTCAATTTTGGGTATTTCTTTAAAATACACAAGTATGTATTACTTTTTAGTAAAAAACTTGATTCAAAAATATTGGCTATGGCATCGAGGCCACTGACATGCCATCCAGACTGAGGAAGCCCCGGAAACATCAGGGCCACGCGAGCCATGGACACAGCCGCATCGGCAGCACAGGAGGCACCGGAAGGCCAAGGTCCTGCTGGTGGCTCACATCATCACCGCATCAGCTTGGACAAATGTCACTCATTTGGGGAAGTTGGTGTGAGGCATGACCCCTTCACGGGGAACCTGAGCTCCTGCCCAACTGTCAGCCTCGGTTACTGTGGGCCTTGGTCAGGGAGCAGATCCAGGTAAGTGATGCCAAACACAAGACCAGTTGCTCCCATCACTGACGTGGTGCGATCAGGCTACGACCAAGTTCTGGGGAAGGGAAAGCCCCCAAAGCAGGCACCACTGTGAAGGCCAAGTTCTTCCACAAAGAGCTGAGAAGATAAAGGGTGTTGGCAGGGCCTGGGTCTTGGAGCTCGGAGCCACATGGAGGGAAATTTATTAAATGCTCACAAATGCAACAACAGCAGCAAATATTGGTGAGGGGGTGTGGGCACCTATAGAGACTTCTGAGAAGTTCTAGAAAACTCTCCCGAGTCCTCTGTAGATTAATTCTATCCGAAGGCAGCTGGGCAAAGACAGCACAGCATTCTTCCCTCTTCCTTCAGCTCCACCTTCCACAGCCTCCACCAAGCACCCGGGGTTTCCTCGCAGGGCTGGCCTGTCCCTTCCTCCCCATCCACAGGCCCCTTCTCTTCTCCCTCCCCCCTCCCTCCCTCCCTCCCTTCCTCCCTCCCTTTTTCTACAGTGACAACCACTCTTCCCAGCCACTTCCTGATGCCCTCCTCAGGGCCTTCCACTGCCCAGTGAATCACAGGGATGAGTCATACACGGCAAGGAGAGCGGATGCATGACGGGCTCATCTGATTTTCCTTAAAAGAAGGCTAATGAAAAAAGCCAAAACAGAGAAACAAGTTCAAGTTCCAAAGTACGGCACATACCCCTTGGCACGGCTTCAGCATTTAGAATATCGGTAACACAAGAACACACACGGCACTGCATGTGTGTTGGGGGCAGAAGGTGGGGGAAGGCACTGCTGACCAGGGAGCCTTTTTCTCCAGGCCCACTGCTTTGCCCACTTCTAGGTATGGCCCTGTTCTGCGGCTCGTCTACTTATTCTGCTGCTACGCCTACTTATTCCCTTAAAGTTACAAAGAACTTCCTCCCAAGATTTCAAAGCAGATGGCTCCTCTCAATTAACTATTAAGTGGACCAAATGCCCTTATTGTATTTGTTAAAATGCCGTCGGCTCCCCAAGCAATCCATTTATGGGGCAGTTGTAACACACTGTCCTTCCCAAACAACCGAGTCAGTAACAAAATGGGAGGACAGAGCCCTGGAGAACAAGGACACTGGAAATTTCGGGACAATACAGGTTTCACCCCACCACCTGGCTCCCTGCTCTTCCCTCACGGATCTACTACCACCAACTCCCTGGCTCACATCGCCTTTTTCAAGAAACTCTTGCTCTCTCCTGTGTTTGATAGTTTCCTGGGTTTCCCTGGAGGAGGGAAGAATGTTTTGGGGACTCCTACCTCTGCTTCCCAAGGCGAAGACACTGAGGAAGGGGGAGCACCTGCAGAGTGCCCCCCCTGTCCTCTGCAAAGCGCCCTCTGTTCCTCCCCAGAGAACAGTCTTACCCTCCCTTAGGGTCCTTATTCATCCCAGTCACTAAACATCAATTTCCTTAACTCTTTCCATGAAAGCCACCCTCCTACTTCTTATAGGTTTGCTTCTTGTCCACCCACACCTTCCTTGCCCTGGACTACCCCAAACTGAAAGCAACATCGCAGGCCCACCTGACAAGAGGTCTGCAGACCTGATCCTTACTGCATCCACTCTTGTGAACGGTTAACTCCAACAGAAAGTCACTCTGAGCAGGTGCTGGCTTTTTAGACTCTGGGCTCTAATTCCTCATCCTTACACTGTAAGTCACAGGCAGAAACGGTCCCTTCTCTGTTTAATTCTGAGCTGATACACATCTTTAGAGCTTGCACTACCCATTTCATTCCTTCCAGCGTAATTGCAACCTAGACCTTTCAGACCCAGAATGGGGGTCAGCAAGAATGGGGGACACAGAGAGGGCGTCCCTCACTGAGGCATGACTAGGAATTTATGTGTGAAAGGAGCCTGAGAAGACAGACTTAGGTCAGAATGTCCCTGTGATTCTGGACCATCAGCCTTTCTCCTAGACGCAGCTCTCACCCACACCACGCCACGCTGGATGACCGCTCCTCTGTCCATGATTCTGGGTCAGAGACCTTTCCCCACAGCCCTGGTTTTCTCCTGACCTTGCCCAACATCCTCCACCCCCCGGCAAGGTTCGCTGTCAGCTGGCCAGGAAGGCAGCACAACGGGCATTTACAGAGCACCCACGATGTACAAAGCCCTGTGAGGAACATAAATAAGTGTGACTGTGCCTCCCCAGAGAGAAGCTCAAAGGTGAGCAGAAATGTGCAGAAAGGACAGAAGCAGTGACTACACAGCAGAACATGATGGTAAGTGGGAATAGCCGATGAGCTCAGGGAGCGGGCAGGCCAGTGCCCAGGCAGTGATGGGGCAACCTGCTGGTGCTGGAGGGAGGGAGCAGAGAGACTGAGACACCACAGGGAAGAGTGGGAAGAGGCAGCCCTGCTCCTCTGCTGACCAGGCCGGAAGGGACAAGGCCCTCTACCTGGCTGTGCCTACCTTCAGTTCCTCAGGAAACTGCTGCTCTCCCTGTAACTTCCCAGAATCCGGCACGGCTGTCAGGAACAGGAACTCCTGTTTGGCGCTGTAGGCTAAGAGACAGAGAGGTGAGAACTCTTCTCATGGAGGAGCAGAAAAGAGGCCTAGAAGTGGACCTACACAGAGACGCCCAACCAGTATTTGACAGGTGCGAAAGCAATTTGGTAGAGGGGGAAGTCTTTTCAGCAAATGGTACTTGAGCAATTGAACATCTATCTATATATATAAAAGCCTAAGTGACCATTCGACCATTCAACCAGCAGCTATGACGTGCACTAACACCAGGGGGCAGACGCTCAATGTACAGGCATGGAAACATGGAACAGACTGATGAATCTCAGAGGGAAGAGATTAACCAAAGACTTTATAAGCATACTAGAGGCCCGTTGCACGGATTCGTAGCCTGTGGGGATTGGACCGAAACTGGCTCTCCAACATCCCCCGAGGGGTCCCAGATTTCGAGAGGGCACAGGCCAGGCCAAGGGACCCCACTGGTGCATGAATCTGCACACGAATCCATGCACTGGGCCTCTAGTAGACACATAAAACTGTAAAAATAAAAAACATAGGAGAAAATTTTTGGAAAATTTGATCAAATAAACCTCCTCAAAATAAAAACTTTGCTCTGCACAGATCACAGAAAGGCAAACTATAACCTGGGAGGAAAAATTTGCAAAGGAGTTATACCTAGAATACATGAGAATTCTCAAAATTCAACAGTAAAAAATAATCCAATTAGAAAGTGGGTAAGGCATGAACAGATGTTTCACCAAAGAGGATAAACAGGTAGCAGATAAACACATGAAAGGATGTTCAACATCATGAGCCATCAGATAAATGCAAATTAAAACCACAGTGAATTACTATAGGGTGGGGCAAAAGTAGGTTTACAGCTGTTGGTATGGAAAATAATACAATAATTAATAAACAATAATACAAGAATAAATTGTGTTTCATGTACTCACAACTATAAACCTACTTTTGCTCCACCCTGTAGTTAGAGAATAATCACAAGGATATAAAGTACAATATAGGGAATATGGTCAATAATATTGTAGTAACTGAGTATGGTGTCAGAGGGCTACTAGATTTATCAGGGTGATCAATTCATAAGTTATATAAATGTTTAATCAGGGGGTTGTACACCTGAAACTAATATAATATTGAATGTCAACTTTAAAAAAAAACACCTCAAAGCAACACACAGTGAGATACCACTACACACCTAGCAAAACAGCTAAAATACAAAATAGTGAAAATACAAAATGCTAGTGAGGATGCAGAGAAACGGAATCATTCATACACTGCTGGGAGGAATGAAAATGGTACAACTCTGGAAAACAGTTTGGTCATTTCTTTAAAAACTAAGCTGCAGCTACCATACAACCCAGCAACTGTTCCCAGGCATTTATTCCAGAGAAATGAGAACTATATTCATGCAAAACCCTGCACGCAAATGTTTGGAGCAGCTCCATTTGTAATAGCCTCCAAAATGGAAACAATCCAGACATACTCCAACAGGTTAAAAAATGGGGACATCTATCTTGGAATACAGCAATAAAAAGCAACAAATTACTGATACACACAAATTGGATGAATCCCCCGGGATTTTTTTTTTTATGCTGAGAAATAAAAGTCAATACCAAAAGGTCACATACTGGATATAATATTCTTTTTTATTTCTCATTTAATTTTTAAAAAGTGAAAAAAGTTTTCAATTACAGTTGACATTCAATATCAGTTTTAGGTGTGTAGCATACTGTTTACACATTTACATACCTTATGTAGTGATCCTCCTGATAAGTCTAGTACCCACGTGGCACTATACATAGTAATTACAATATTGACTATAATCTCTATGACTATTCTGTAACTGCCAATTTGTACTTCTTAATCCCTTCACTTTTTTTATCTAGCTCCCTAAATCCCCTCCCATTATAATTTTCCTGAAATGATGGAGAAGAGATTAGTGATTACTGGGAGAGAGTGGGGGTGCAGGATGGGGAGAAGGAGGTGAGTGTGGCTATAAAAGGGCAACAGGAGGGATTCCTGTGGTGAGGAAGGTGTTTGGCATCTTGTCTGTATTAACATCAGCATCCTGCTCATGATTCTGCAGCATAGCTTGAAAGATGTTACCACTTGGGGAAACTGAGTCAAGGGACATAGAACTCAACCTGTTATTTGTTGCAACTGCATGTGACTCTATAATGATCCCCCAAATAAGAAATTTATTTTTTAAAAAAATATATTTTATTGATTTTTTACAGAGAGGAAGGGAGAGGGATAGAGAGTTAGAAACATCGATGAGAGAGAAACACTGATCAGCTGCCTCCCTCCCCACTGGGGATGTGCAGCAACCAAGGTACATGTCCTTGACCAGAATGGAATCTGGGACCCTTGAGTCCGAAGGCCGACGCTCTATCCACTGAGCCAAACCGGTTAGGGCAAGAAATTTAATTTTTTAAAAAGCCAGGTTAGAAGTCAAGTTAGTGCTTACATACTAATTTAAAAATTCATGGGAACTGTCCTGGCCGGTTTGGTTCAGTGGATACAGCATTGGCCTGGGGACTGAAAGGTCCTGGGTTCAATTCTGGTCAGGGGCACATGCCCGGGTTGCAGGCTCGACCCCCAGTAGGGGGTATGGGGGAGGCAGCCGATCAATGATTCTCTCTCATCATTGATGTTTCTATCTCTCCCTCTCCCTTCCTCTCTGAAATAAATATATATATATTTTAAACCATGGGAACTGAGATGAGACTAGAGAAATCTTACAAAATGTTAGTCCCGAAGAATATTTTATAGCCAACTGATTTTTGGAAAACCTTTGCAGCAAAATTTGAAGATAAGTTTCAGACCTCTATAATCAAAGATTTATTTTTCAAAACTTTGCAAACACTAATACATACCTAGAAAAAATAGAGCAAATAAAATTATAAAAATCAGCAAAATGAAGCATGGACAAAGGCACAGTTCACTTCTTTAAAAAAAATCAAAACCTCCCCCCTTAGGTCATTAATACCAACACTGCACACTCCCCTGCAGCCCCCACCTGCCCAGTCCTCGCATCCCCCTCCCCGTCCAGTAGCCAGGAGAACACACAGGGAGAACTCCTTACCAACGCCCCGACAACGGTAACCCATCTCCACAGCTTCCTTTTCTGACTCCAGTAGAAATCTCTCTGCCATGCACTTTATGAATCCCACTAAAGTATTTTTTTTCCCATTTTCTAGGTTTGGGTTAAAAGGCAACCTAACTAGAGCTGTGCCCAGCAGCTGTTCTGGACCTGTGACAGGGACAAGAGTGTTGTTTATGGTGCGGAACTAGACAAGGCATCAGTGCCATCAGCAAAGCTGCTGGACACACTCAGGCTCTGACACCAACATCTGTCTATCCTCCTCTGCGCAATCTGACCACGTGTGGAGCAGCACTAAGGTGCTAATAAAAAGGTCACATTCCCCTCCTGTCTGGTCACTTCCTGTTCCCACAGCACCTTCTACTACTAGCACTACAATGCTTAGCTAGTTCAACACTTAGTTCAACAGACTTCTGTAGAAATCTAAGCTTCTTAATAACATTTAAATAAAACAATGTATTGTGAATTTTTAAACAACTGACCTATCAATCAATCAGCTTTTGAAGAGCAGCCCATTTCATGTGCCAGGAGCAAAATAAATAGGCTTTGGCAGCTGTGGAACATCTCACATACTGGCCAGTCATCTGCCCATTTTTAGCATTTTTATGATTTTAAACTTCCTGGTGTTTTCTCCCCAGCTCGCCTTGGCCCTGCTTGGAAGAGACTGAAATAAAACTGGCAGCATGATTTATGTTTGGTTTGGTTTTTCCATTGCTTTGTCGATGACCATTTATTTCCAGCAGGTACCATTATGCCACTATGATCAAACAGTGCTTCCTTTCCCCTCTGGCCCTCAGGAATAAGACTTCAGCTGCGAGACCAAGGATTCTGATCCTCCAGTTATGGCCAGGTGCCTTCATAACGTACAGCTCACTTTCGTTATAGGCCTCATTCTATTCACAATGCATTTAAATTTACCAAGTGACGCACTGCTTTGTTTTTCTAGAAGGGATCACCTCCACTCATCTCCGTGACCATGCTGTGTCCAGTCACCCAGGGTCTCCCCCTTCACACACCAGGCAGGAGGCATGCAAAGACTCTGAAGTCATTGGCTCTGCCCTTAAGCGGCTTACAGCCAAGGTGAGGGGCTAAGTGGAGCAAAATATTGGGAGAGGAAGTCAAACAGAAGTGAGCCGAAAATCAGTGTCCACACTTACGCACCAGATGCACTATTCTCAACGTCCCTGCCATGAAATTCCCATCGCTGGATGGGATCTATTTCCCTAGTTACAACTCCCGATCCTAGTTCAACATGACACTGGAATTTGTCAACCACAGATAAGCCACTGCCACAAATATCACTGTGGCTTCACTGCTGAGCCGAAGAGAGACCATAACACTATTAAAAACAAAGAACAAGGTAAGCATTGCTTTCAACAGCAGTTCAGGACATACCTGCTCTTCCTATCAGCTTAACTAGTAAGGGAATCATCAGGAACAGGCAGGTGAGAAGAAAGCACGCCCCTCCACTGAGGGGGTCTAGAACAGAGCTGTTTTCCCAGAGGACAGAGCCAGACTAGCTGCCCCACAGACACCGAGTTACAACTGGCCCCTCGGTGCTGGGACCAAGGATTCACGACCTGCGTTGCAGGAAATGGACCTTCAGCACGCATGATCCTGCTGTGTTTCCAGTTATTTCCTTGTGATAAATATTTCACATGAGGCTTTTGGTTCAAAGGTGAAAATACTGTGACCACCAGTGAAACAAAGCCTAACACATGAGAAAAATCTCTTGCAGACACAAGTTTACAAAACTCTTTCAGTTTCCTGTTCAGCCCTCAGACCCACCAGGGGGTTAAGCGCCCCCCCTTTCCCCCAGAGACAGAGGGGGCCCCTAAGGCTAAGTGACCATTAGGGCTCAGGGGCAGGAGTTGCCTGAACCACCCACCCACGGTCTTCTCTGATGGCCTTCAGGGGGGTTGTTTAACTTCAAGGAGCTCAATCATCTACACTAGTAGACCCTGTGTGTGAGCTCACTGCCTTTATTCATAACTCAGCTAACAGACATCCATCTTGTGATTCTAGCCAAGCACTTAGGGACAAGTCCTCCGTAGTCAGAGATGGCTGCGCTATGTTGTGGGCCCAACAGAAAAGAGTTCTCACTGAGTTCAGTGCACATCATGGGGCTGACACCACCCTCACTGGTGGCCCATCCTCACCAGGACCCTCTCCATGCTTCACTGAGTGGGAAAGAGGGAGGGGGGCCCAGTGTGTGCTGGCTCCAAAGTTCCCACTTGCAGTGGTTCACTGGCCACAGCCATCACACGGCCACAGGGGGCATCAAAGGGCACAAGGAATTACCATTCACTTTAAAGGGTAGACTGTCAAACTACAGCAGCGGGAAGGCCAGGGAGGGCTGGGCGGGGTGGGGGGGGGGCGGTTAAGAGATCAACCGAAGGACTTGTATGCATGCATATAAGCATAACCAATGGAAACAAGACACTGGGGGGTAGGGGAGGCC